CCGGCCGCGCGCGGGCCGGCTCACGCCGACCGAGGAGTCCTAGGCCAGGTGGCACCAAGCAGTTAAACTGCCTGAAAACTGTTTGTTTCTACCTTAGGAGACCTGAAAGTATCATGCTAACAAATTACTTGGCTTCTGAAGTATTTAGCAAGGAGTGCCAGGTAATAATTCGCTAACGAGCGCGACAGAAAGTATATTGTGTTCGTGGAATATTCTAGAAAAAGCAGGCTTCTTTCCTCATGCAAGTGTCAGTAGGGTTTAAATTTGTTCCAAAGCATTAAGTGTTTAAGCACAAAAACAAGAAGTGCTTATGTGGAGAGTTCTCAGGCATTTAAAACAAAAAAAAAAACACCCAGGAACAAAGGTTCTCTCCTCCAAGGTGTCTTGTTTCCCAACCTGAAATTAGTTTTTCTTTTGGAATGATTATTCCATTAGATTGCATTTTGCGATTATCTAGAAAGATCTGAATAAAAACAATGCAAAAACAACATGGGAAAGAAAGTTGCTTTGTAAAATCAATTAACCTTAAAAAGGGTTTCATTCAGGTTATATAAAAAAAAGCACAAGCCTTATTTAAGAAAGCTGAGCTTGGATAACAGTATTTTATTCACTAGAAAGACTGTGTCAGATATAAGGAGCAATTCACTGCGTTATATGCAACAAAGTGGGTAGTCACTTCCTAAATATTTCCTTGCATATGGAGTTGTTTATGAAACTACTTTTTTTTTTTACTTAACAAGAAACGAAATGAGAATAAAGAAATACACATGGACACATGTGTGCACACTTAATATTCAGTGTAGAAGAGATAATCTGTTATATAAGCCTACAGACAGACAATCCCCTTTTGCTTAAAGATGAAGTATCCATCAATGTTTGTCTCAAGCAGATGTAATCACAAGCAGTCAAGTCTGGAGGGCAGGACACCGCATGAATAATTCAAGCACTTCAGTCTACTTGATTGTGTGCAGATAAACACAAGTCAACCGCTAAACAGGTCAGCTGATAAACTTGTTTGTTCAGGACTAGCCACCCTCAACCAGATGCACCCAGGACCCGGGCTGCAATTAGCAGGGGATGTGTTTAGCGAGGATGCCGCAGTCAAGAACAGGGGCAAACCCTCTTCAGAGGCTCCCTGCAACGCTCCAGGCTGAGCTCTCCCAGCTCCAGCCCTCCGCTCCCTCGCCCCGTTTCCGCCTGGAAGCGCGCTCCGAGCGCCAGCTTCAGCTGCCGCCTGCTTTGTTTTTCCGCAGCACCGTGCACGTTGCTGTCAATTAAAGAACAAGACAGCTTCACCTCCCTAAACTTCCCGGATCAGCAGAGCACCAGGCACGCAGCATGTGTCACCCAGAACACCCAGAGCCGGCGGGGAGGGCTTTGCGCAGGCTGCAATAGTTTGGAGAATATCGGTCTGCCGAGTTTCAAGGCAGCAAAGCTTAGAGCAAAGCGCTTCAGACCCCGGGTTGGGTTCCCGGTACGTTCGGAGCGACACCCAAGACGCGAACGTTCACGCGCGGCCACGTCGTAGAGCGGGAACCGCTCCACGCCGGCACCGGGCAGAGCTCGGGGAGGCCACGCTCGCCCTCCCCCCGAGAGCGCGGACGCGCTGCAACGGTACAAGACACAGCGCTCCGCCGACTCCAGACAGCCTTGCTAGGACGAAACGGCCACTAAGCATTTTCAGGTTCCTCAGTTACCCTCCGAAACCATTCCAAACACTTTGCCTCACCAAATGCCACCGGAGAAGGCACCATATTTGATTACACTGCATTACAGAGCGGATGTCAGAGCTGAGAGCAGAATGTCCCATCAACATAGCGCAGAAGCCAAGAGCTCTCCTCCAGCTCTCCTCACCCCTCTCCAAGCCCCTGACGCTCAGCCAGTGGTGCAAACCCTCTCAGACTAGTTTTTGGTTGCAGCCATTCACTGGTGAAAAACACACTACACGCCTTGGGAAATATCAATAGTTTGCAAAGCTTTGAGCAGGAGAAGAAACTCAGTGTTTTGCAGAACCATTTCAATATCTCTCAGCATCTGCACAGAGCGAAGCTGTTCCGGCCCCGTGTGACCGGGTGGTAAAATGCATTCCCTCGCAGGAAAGCGGCTTTCACGATCGTTTGCTTCACTCTAGTCCCTTGAGCGTTTCTGAAGGGATCGCAGGTTCCGTTTTCCCTTTGATGCATGCAACGCCGGGAAGAGGCCCTGCCCAGGAGCCCACAACAGGCCTAAGTACAATTTCTACATTCAGGGATATTTCTGGCTGCACCAAGACAAAACGTACTTTAGGTTCCCCCAGCCAGGGCAGCCCGAGCTCCCTCCTCGCTCCGTGGGCCCCCGGCTCCCCCCGGGGAAGGGGGCCGGAGCCGCAGGCTTGTTCACAGCCCTCACAAAGGCACCCGCGGCGCTGCTACGGCAGAGGGCTGCAGGCACAAGGACACTTTTGTCCAGGCAGAAGCAATGGAGAGAAAGAAGTCAGGATTATCTGCATGGAAGAAGATATTTTTAAAAAACTGAAGACTAAGCAGTAATTATTTTTGTTACTGTGTGCATATGTACCAGAAAGCCAAAGGGAACCGCCTGTAAGGAAGAGAGGCAGATTCCCAGACATACTGCTTTGAATTTAATCAGTCTATTAACAGCACTTTCTTAACTTAGGACAAGTGATGCTGCTATTACAAAAAGACACTTTGCAGTTGAACAGGGTTAGTTTGTGAATTGTAAAGTTCATGTCAACTTATATCTGCCTTAAGTTCTTAATTAGAACTACTTCTAAAACCAGTAAGCAGCAGCAGCACAAATAATCAGGTCTAATCTCAATAATAACTTTATTCCTTTAAGTTTTACCATCATGTGCCCAGCCTTTAGGCTCTTTAACTATAATCTTATCAAGGTAGCACACCACATTCTGCTATAGCCTTCTACATTTTTTCCTTCAGGCAAGTTATACATTAGAGAAGACAAAAAAAAAAAAAAAAAAGAAGTAACAAACATTGCTTCATTTTCCAGATGCAAAGAGAAATGCATGACATTGAGCAACACACTATTAGATACCAGTATCCTAGAAGATAATTCTTTTCTAAGTCTCACGCTGCAGTGCTGAAAGTATCAGAGGTATGACCTTAAAAACAGCCAAGTTGTACCAATAACAAAACCAGAGGAAAACGCACCAGATAACAGTATTTTTCAAGTGCACGGGACATACTAATCCAGGTACAGATCCCTCAGTATGTAAGTCAATGCTATTTTCATCTCTTCTTATTTTTTAAAACCTAAGTTTCTCCTGAATACATGCAAAAAAAACCCACTAGCCTGCCATAAACTTACTGTTTCAAATGTAGCTCCTGGGCCAAGAGATCAAACCCAAAGTCACATCCCTGACTTCTGCACTTATTCCCCATTTACTGCAATCAGCATCTAATTTTTCTCAGGTTGAGAAAAGGACAACAGGAGACCAATCAGATTTCCCCCCCACCTTTAAATTACTCACCTGTTTGTGCATTTCAATATTCAAGCCATATGACATTTCATAGTACTAGGGAAAAAAAGCCAAAAAAATTTTTAATTAATTTAGCATAAGGTATTTGCATAAGGTCATTACCAGAAATCAAAACTGGTCAAAACTGTGCTTAAAGCATTTCTAGCCAAGGAAATTATACCTTGTAATAAGCATATGTTTATAAGGTTTAACTGGCATGCCTTCAGCAAGAGGACACTCCTTCTTACTCCTGTTTTCTTCTCCTAAGCTACTTAGGAAAACAAAGAGCAGGGCTGCGTGTGACAGGCGTCTGCGAGCCCCAGCAGAACAGGTACCACCCGCAGTCTGGCCAACAACCCAGCTTGTAACTGGGGCCAGCATGTATTTTTTCCTTCTGTGTCCAGCACTGCTGCTGCTGCTGCTGCTGGGACTCCAGGGAGTGGGTCTGACCTCCTCCTCCCTACTCAACAAGGGGATGCCTGGTCCTGTTAAACCGATTAGAAATGCAAATAAAAACATTTCCCACCTATGGCCCTGAAAAGCAAATTTAGCGAAGAGGCTTCCGCGGCAACAAAAGAGCCCTGCCAGCCCCCGGGGAGGGGGAAGGATGCGCCGAGAGGCCTGCAGCCGCC